ATATGTACATGTATATGTATGTGCATTTGTATGTGTATATGTATACGTATATGTGTATGTGTATGTGTATAGATATGTATATGTGTATGTATATCTATATATATGTATGTATACATACATACATACCATACCATACCATACCATACCATACCATACCATATGCATACATGTCTACATACATGCACATGAGGTTGTGTGCGTTGACTTGGGTTGTGTGTTTTGTTTGTTTATGGAGTGTGCGAACTAGTTTGCTGAGTTAAAGGTTGGGGCTGATTCTAGTTTCGGGCAGGGAAATTACCTTCGACATAATGGATCAAAGTGCATGCAGTGATTCATAGCACACTAGAGACGCGTATAGTGTAGTAGAGACTGTAGAGTACAAACACTTAATGTGTCGTAATGAGAGAAGGGCAGAGTAGGGTAGAGAGTGTAGCACAGCATCGTGCACAGTATCATACAGTAGAATGCTTCATAGTACAGTAGAGACGCATATAGTGCAGTAGAGACTGTAGAGTACAAACACTTATTATTAATGTGTCGTAGTGTAGAGTAGGGCAGAGTAGGGTAGAGTGTCGCACAGCATCGTGCGCAGTATCATACAGCAGAACATACTGCACAAGCACGATGCAGTATTGCATGGAGTGCCATATCATTCGATATGTTGCCATCTATACTTGCAGACTTCAACAAGGTTTCAGCCACTGTGGATGTTGGTCTCCAAACCTCAAGATTAAGAGCCCGAAGCAGTCTTTCATGCAAAACCCTGAGATGATGCGAACTGGAGTGCGATAATCCAATACCATGAAGGCTCCTCGTCAAAGCCAGAATTCCAAGTCAACGGCGGGTGTCAACTACCTTGCCATAGTAGCCACGGAGCCTCCGCCAGTTGGCTTTTCAGCTCGTTTCGATGGTTGATGATGTGATCTGCGCCCATCCTTGGGTGGTCACCACACAACCTACCAAGATGTATGTATGGATGCGTTTATGTATGTATGCATAGGTGTATGGGGCTTCCGTAGCTGGGTGCTGTGCGATCAATTTATCGATGAATTGAGTGTCAAGTGCTCATGCAGCTTTACGGAACATGCAACAGAATAGTAGTACAACTCAACAAATCTAAAAGTGTTTAAAGCAATGATACTTCAATTGCAGTGCTTCAAGAGCGATTCCTGGGGAAGAGGCCTCTATGAGGCCCACGCCTCTACGGGCCTCTGCGGGGCCCCCTCTCTGGGGAGACTATTATACACTACTGTTGCAATCGTTAGCCCAGGTTCTTCTTGCACCATGACACCGTCTCCTCGCGCGAAGCAGAGGCTATCACCGTCAAGCCAAGATGCTTTGCCTGAC